CTGCAGTATGGCCCATAGAAGGCCTTGTGTGCTTCACCAGCAATTCCCAATGTGGAATTACGGATTTGGGAAGAGACTGAACCAGCAGACCCCAAAAAATGGGGACTCTGGACTGATTCCAAACAAATGAGGAACTGCAGCTGCCACCAGGAGTTCTCAATATGGAATCTGGGGACAGAACCAAGGGCTGGGGTTTCCAATCAAATGGGGCATTGTGGACGGAACTGCCAGTAGTTCCAAACGTGGAACTGACTGGAAAGCCAATTAGATCCGGTGCTCAATGCAAAAAGAGTGGAGCTCAGAACTAAGAGAAATTTACCCATGGTCTTCGGAAACAGCAGGAAAGACAGAGAAGGCAAAAGGTTTGTGAGTACCATGCCTGTGTTTCTTTTTGTCCCCAAAGCCATCAGAAGTTTTCCTTCAGATCTCCATGCTGCCAGAAAAATCTGTTAAAGCACAAAATTCAGCTGAGTAAAGTTAAAGATCTAATTGGCTTTATTCAACAATTCATGAATCGGGCAGCATACCATCTAGCAAATAGAAAGGAGCTCTGAAGAGCTGTATAAAATAAAAGCCTTTTATAGGCAGAAAGCAGCAAGGAAAAGAAGTTTCTAGCAGAGTGGATTGTTTCAGGCAAGGTCACTTTCCTACAGGGGACAAAACCTGTTGGGCAGATTACCTCATCAGTGCTAACCAGGTAATTCCAGATTGACTGGTTAATGTTCCATTCTCGGGAGAGGCTGAAACTGCAGTTAGGTTAGGTGTTAAGTCCTGATTTGCTGATGTGGGGCTTAGCATAAGTGACTCCATTTTAGGCCTGTTGATCTTTTTATTTTTAAAGATTTTATTTTTTCCTTTTTCTCCTCAAAGCCTCCCGGTACATAGTTGTATATTCTTCGTTGTGGGTCCTTCTAGTTGTGGCATGTGGGATGCTGCCTCAGCGTGGTTTGATGAGCAGTGCCATGTCCGCGCCCAGGATTCGAACCAACGAAACACTGGGCCACCTGCAGAGGAGCGCACGAACTTAACCACTCGGCCACAGGGCCAGCCCCAGTTGATCTTTTTTTAACAATACATTTTATATTGAAAATAATTGGTTGCATGTAAAGAATAAAATTATAACTATAATTTAATAAGATTAAATGAAACAAATAGATGTTTCATAAATAACAAACCACCAGAGTTATAAACAATGTGAATTTTATTTAGACCACAAATCCTTCTTTACCTAGAGAACTGACAGTGGCTAATCCATATCTTAATCATTTGTACCCTGTCTCTTTATCTTAGTCCACTCTTCCATACCGGGCTGTCTCAGTTGTCTGGTGAAATCTCCTGCAATTTACCACCTTTCTTCTGTGCTAATTCCTCTGTTCTCTGCTTTTCCCTTATATTTCCTCCTTTTTCCTGCTGACTTAGTAAGCATTCTCTTTTGCTCTGCCATTTGCTTTGACCTGTACCTTCTTTTCCTCTGCTGTACACTGCACAGATTTCTTGCCCTCTCCTGTTCTTTGCTCTTTCTTCTTTTCTACCCTCACTCATGATTTCTCTCAGTAAACTCTGCTACTTTTAACAGGAGAGAGGGAAGTTAAATTCCAAGCTTACACAGTTATGAATGAAGCCTGTGTCTTGAATGAAGTTGAGAGGAGCAGCTGGTTGGGTGAACCAGAGAGCACTAGCCCTTCTTCTGGGAAACAAAAACATGTGATGTAGCAAGAGATTTCTCAAGGTGCTATCAGCCAAATTTTTTTTTCTAGAAGTTAGCCGCGATGCCTGAGTTCTACCATTAAAGCTACTCCTTTGGATGAAGGCATTTATTACCAGATAGAGGTTAAATATTAGCACATTTTTGATAAGCTATTATCATCACACATCCAGTAAGTTGTGAGGTAACCACACAGTCACAAGAGATCAGAGTTTTAGAATTGCAGGGGATATTAGAAAAATTCAAATAGCATGTTAATTTGCAAGAGTAATTAGGTATCACCTACCAAGGAGGAAGACTTACGGCCATAAAATTAAGGACAGATTCATTTCTATGGGATAGAGAGGAAAGGGCAACTTGAAAGGAGTGGAGAGTGACTCGGCCATCCATGAGGCCCCTGGGAAGACGAAGGCCATCACAGTGAAGCACCACAAAGAACACAAGTGGTGCCCACTTTGTATCTGGTGCTAAAAGATAAACCAAGTCATATTAAAAATGTTAAGAGTTTAAGCAAAAATCGATTCAAATTGGGCAGCATCCACTCTAGCAGATAAAAGGGAGCACTGAGGAGCTGTAAAAAATGAAAAACTTATAGGCAGAAGACAGCAGGAGCAAGGAGGTTACAATAGGCAAAAAGTAGGTTAGTTATTGCAAGGTAACTTTTCTTTAGGGGATTGTAGGAGTCTATCAGGCAGATGACCTAACTAGTAGTGATGAGGCAATTCCTGATTGACTGCTTTAAGATTCCACTTCTGGGAGAGCGAAAACTATACTTAAGTTAAGCGTTGGTTTAGTGACTTGGGCTTAGCATAAGCAACTCCATTTCGGGCCTGTCGACTTGTTTTTTAACACTGGGCATATTGGGGTGCAGGACAAGTTGTGTACAACTTGGAAATCTGAGACCATGTTCACTCACTTGTGAATTTTAGCTGCCCAAATCCCAAAAGTCACAGAAAAAGTATGAAGGCTTGAAGTCATTTATGTATTCATTCATGCAACAAATAATTATTAGGCTTTACTTTGCATTAGGCATTGTTTTTGACAATAAGAATGCAATCATGAACAAACAAAGTTTCTGTCCTTAAAGAATTTGCATTCTAGTGTAGGAGGCAGATACTAAGCCCCCAAACAAATAAATGTACCACTACTGCTATTACTACTATTATTAGTTATGATTACCACACTACTAATGGTGATAATTAACACATATAATGCTTACAATTGGCCAAGCATGGCTCTTATTCTCTTCCATATGTTAATTCCCTTAATTCTCACAACCCTCTTTTAAGGTAGGAACTATCATAATTCCCATCTTACAGATGAGGCAAAAATAGGTTAAGTACCTATTTGTTCAAGATCACATGGCCCTAAGTGGAAGAGTTATATAATGTCAATGATGAACATTTTGAAGAAAATTAAGGTCAATTCATCCCATCTACAGATCTGGCTGATGAAAGTAATATAATTTAGACAGTAACAACATAGTCTTTGGAATCCGATTTCTTGGATCAATGCGCTATATCTGAGCTCTGTGACTTTAGGCAAATTACATCATTTATTTTGGGCCTCATATTTCTCATCTGTTAAATGGGGATAATAAAACCTAGTTAGAAGGGTTTCCGTAAGCTTAAAATAAGGTTAAATTATGTCATGACTGTAAAGGACTTAACACAGGCCTGGTGTACAATACATACATGGAAATTAAACAACAGGGTTTGAAGCTCAGCAACAGCACAAACTAAGTGAGGAGAAAACAAATTGCTTGTGGCTACGTGTTTCTGGGACAGGAAATAATTGCGTTTCTGTAAGGATTTAGTAACTCTAAGGACTAAGAAGGAATGTAGGAGATTCAGATCTTTCCAAGGGAAATGGACTCTTTCAAGAAATGATGGTTCTTGGCAGATGTGTGAGGGTAGAGGCTCCCTGAGGAGCTCAGACTGCCTAGCAGGAGGGAGCAGCATGCAGTGGGAGGGCTGGGAACATACATTCCACAGAGGGAGCTCTGAAGCTGGAAGGATCACACAGCCTGCCTTGGTCAGTCATAGAACACAGGGCTGCAAGAAAAAGGGCTGGGCCAGCCTGGAGCCTTATTATTGAAAGACATCTCACCTGGCAATGCATAGGTGGCTCTTTATACAGATCTAAGAGGAGAGAACTTGGCCTGAAGCAACAACGTCTATTTTCATTAGTTTTATTCAACCTCGTAATCCTCTGTTTTGCTTTTCCTGGACTGACTCTGTTCAGCAGGAACCTAGATGGTATTTCCCATTATTGCAATATGAAAAAAAAAATTAATTGTCACTAATGTGTTCCTCAATTTCTTTCTCCTTCCTGTAATCATGTTCCTTGCTTATCAAACAGTTCTGCTTCATTATTAACAATCCAACATGTGGCCAAGTTCTTTCAAAGGATATCTCTGAGAGACAAGTTATTTTTAGCTGGTTGGTTGGTTGGTATACTGAAAAAACACAGATCTTGTGATACCAGTGATTTTCTCAGTCCATCAAAAAGACTTTAGGACCTATGACCTCTGCCCAAGGTCAAAATAAAAAATGTTTATTGCGGGTGTTAGAATGTTCATTGTCATTGCAGTCAATGCTCATGGTTTGGAAGTGAAGATGAAAGGATTTTTATACTTGATTTTGTCAATACTATCATCTAACATTTTTGGAAATCCATTTAGCTTCTTTATGAGATCCTTGTTTCAATGGTAAATGAGGATATTAAGGGTCCTTAAAATTAGTGGATTAGACTGTAGTGTGATTTCAATAGAATTTGTAACTTGCACTGAGACATTCAATCAAGTGAGAATAATTTAATGCAATAACTTTATGGAGACAGGAGGCAGGGAGAGTACAAAGTAAACTTTGCTATGTTATAAAACATGAAGTTTTAACACATGTAATAGCCTTAATCAAAAGTTTATTTTAAAAAATAAGCATATTCTTTCAAACCACTCTTGATAATATTAGTATACTTGTGAACTATACTAGCTGAAAAGTGCTAAGGGAAGAATTCCCACATATTTACCATAATCAATATTCACATGTTCAATTAATTGCCTAAGTATGTGTGACTCTTCGTTGAATATCTAAAAAATCCTTGCTGGTGGCACACGTTGGTGAGATCAGCCTTGCTCTTCTTGGTCTACCAGATACCTCTGGCCACTTTTGAACCTTTCTAAATGAGTCAGAGGTAGGCTCCCAATTGCTCTCTTGGCCTCTATTTTTATTGTTATTATTAATTTTTGTCATTTTAAAATTTTTTCTAGCTTTGGCCTCCATATGTTCTCTACACTTGATTCAAATGCCTAATCCTTTTTAGTTAAGTTTCCTGGGACAAATAACCTGGAAGGACTGTCACCACTGAAACTTCAAGTTGTGTTCTTTAACCTACATTCTTACCTATAGGCCTAGGTAGGCGTTCAATAAACATGCGTAAGTCTACTACTAGTCATCCCCAATGGGAGTAATTAGCACTGTCTTCTTTGATTTGAAAGATGCTGTCCTTTGAGTATGAAGTTATGTTGATATGTAATTGATGGAGAATCACCGTTTATTAGAGTGTTCTGATCCACGGCCCTTCAGAGCAGTTACAACAAAAGATTCAAAATGGGAACAACACAAAATAAGGTAAAAAAAATTTTCAGGCAAACCAGCCTATAAACCTGAAGAGGGCTTTGAGTGTCATTGGAGTAGTGGTCTTTTTGGAAATATTCACATTGGTAACTCTCTACTGGACTGATAAGCTTGCAGGCAACATCTGAGTAAAAATTGTTGCCTCTTCAGTATAAAAAAGTCAGTTTCACAGTAACTTTTCAAACTTTTTTTGATGAGTTTCTAGCAAAGCAAAAGCCTCATTCTCTATTTTAAAAATTTTTAGTATTAGAAGAAACATATCTTCATAGGACAGGATGATATGGGTGTGGGTATTTGACAAGCTAGTTTTTCTCTTTGAAAGAATTACATAAGAAACACTGAAAAAAATCACTGTGGCTTGGTCGGTTCACCTCAGCCAAAAATTACTGCCGCATTTAGCACAGTCGGCTCTGAATAAATAATTGTTGAATTAATGAAATGAAGTAGTGATCCATGAAGTGTAGAATCTGCAAAGTATTTTGAGCTTTTGGAATATGAAAATAGATACTCATTTGACTTTCTCTTTTTCTCCTAAGTTTATTGGAGCCCATTCTCTGTAACTTAAGTGTTACCTAAGCTGACTCTGCCTCTCTCTCCATCAAGGCCAACAGTGTGCTATGAAAGGGATAGTGGCGGCACCACATAGCTCAGGAATGTCTTTAGTTCTTGCCCTGTGTTCTGAATGTTCTTGCTCTGGCCTAAAATACCAGCTTCTCTTCTGTTGTTTGATCTCAGTTATACTTCTTGTCCAGACACTGCTGTCCACCTGGTTTTAAATTTAGGTCTCGGCTTTGACTCCTTTCTTGAACTACCACAAACCATAATCTGCAGAGTTGCCCTGCCCCGTGTTTGTGCCTTATCCAAGCCCTAGGCCTTAGCCCACTGGGTATCCACCTAATGGAAGGGTTGTTTGAACATCAGTCTCTACGTCTCTTTCTTATCCCTCCGATATCTGTGATAGTGGCTGGGCATGCCAGGATTACTTAACTGACGGTGTAACTGCGTGAGATATTTCTTCTGGAAACTTTAGACCTCTGACACACTCAGAGCTTGAAATCACAGGCCTTCAGACTCCTGCTTCTCTAGAGAGTCAGCTAAATATGAAGATGGCGCCTTGCCTTCAGCTGAGATCAAGTGGCCAGCTGTGTCCTGAGGCTCAGTAGTGCCCTCCACAGTGGGTGATCTGAGTATTTCCAGTAGGACTGGAGTCTAAGCATTTTAGCCAGAGCTCTCCAAGACCACAGCCTGGTGCTCAGAAATTTACTGGCAAATAGAGACCCTGCCATCCTTTCTCCATCAAAAAGTGTATCTCTGATATCTTGGTTTCCAGCTGGACTTAGTCTCACTTCCGGCTCTCATGCTCTGCAGGAGAGTGAGAGAAATAGAAGGCAGCTACCCTTCAGCCAGGAGCCCCAGGGCCTCCCAGCAGTATGTGTGGAGGTCCAGGCTGGAAGAGAGAGCCAAGAAGGCCAGATGTGGGCGTCCACCCTTTCCAGTCCTTGTTCATAGAGAGCAATGTTCTGTAGGCTGAAGTCCTGCTCGCAGCAGATCTGTTTCTGTCTCAGGACAGAAGTGATGTAATGAAGTACTCACAAGGCAATATAGAGCAGAAGTCAAGAGCTGGGGTCTTGGAGCCACACTTCTTGGATTCCAAGTCGCATTCTGCATGTGTGACTCTGAGACCTTGAGCAATTTGCTTAAAATCCCTGCAATTCAGATTCTTCTTTGTAAATTGAAACTTCATTATTCAACAATTATTTATTGTGCTACTTCTCTGGGAAGAGTGCTATTTTGGGGCCTAAGGATACAGCTGTAAACAAACTAGATAAGTCCCATGCCACCGTGGAACTTAAGTTCTAGAGGGGAAATAGACAATGCACAAATAAAAATATAACATCAAAGAGATAAGAGCTATGCAGAAAAATGAAAATGAAGCATGGTAAGAGAATAAAGAGTGATGTGGAGTATTTTAGTTGGAGTAATTAAAATAGTGTTCTCTGAGGAGATGACATTTTACCAGAGGTCTGAATAAAGTGAGAAGTGGGCTAGGTACGTAACTGGTGTTCCTATCAGAGAAAACTATGAGTGCAAAGGCCCTGAGGCTGAAGTATGCTGAGATAGTGACATTACCTACTAAATACAATTGTTATGAGGCTAAATGGGTTAATTCATTTAATAACTTTAAATGGAACCTGTACATAAATATTTCTTGATAAACGCTAGTTGTTAGTATTATCAGACTGCTTCATATACTCTGGCCCAGCTAGTCCAGTTCCTCAGCTGACCTGAGGCCACCATGTTGTTTGGGGACGCTGCTACCTGCTGCTTCCTGCTAGTAAGACTAGTAAGTGTGTGTAACATGTTGAGATGCTGGTGCTGTATCTCATCTTCTGCCATTCTTCCTCCTGTATCTTGGGTTCTACTGGCTAGACCTCTATTTAGCTCCCTAAATCAATTCTGCCTTCTGCTTTATACAAGATTTCTGTCACCAGTACTGCCCAGGTCTCCTGCCAGGTCCAAGCCCACTCTCCACCACAGTGCCAGGGATGTAGGACAATTGTGTGTCTTAAAGGGAGATGTCTCTAGACACAGAAGATGGTTCCCAAAACATGTTTCACTGGGGCCTGTGTTTTTGTCAAATGGCTACCTCCCTCTTTGAGCCTAAAAGATGCATAGAAGAATAAAACCATCAAATTATGGAGAAGTTTATTAGACCACACCTCAGCTCAATGGGGACTCCAGTAATCTTATGAAAAACAAATGGACAAACTCCCACAGAGCTGCCACTGCCTCAATGCACTTGTCATTTGAGGCTTGTAGCTGCTCCCACAGATTCATGGCCTTCTGAAAGAGCTTTGTTGAATTATTTGTGATTTTTCATTTTTTATAAAATTATACTTCTGGCTTCCTGCAACCTTGTCCTTATTGGGGAAAGTGACAAGTGGAAAATGGCCTTCTAGTCATGCCTTAGTCTGGCTGTGCACGCAGTGGTACCATTTGGTCTAATACTTGATTAGACCAAAAGTCTGGCTATCTACAGGACTTGCTTAATGAGAATTCTTATATGACCTTCTGTCCCAATACCCTTACATAATCTCCTAACATGACATCCAATAGCCCATAACAATAACGTCAACTACAACAGACATTAATTGTGCGCCTATTAAAAGCCAGATGTTATCTCATTTCAACCTCACAAAAATCCTATGTAACCCAGATACTCCATACATCAGCAAGTTGCAAGATCACACCTCCCGTTAATACTCAAACCACAATAACCTGGGTCTCCATCCATTGTCACTATTGGATGTCCAGCATCTTTACCAGTGTCCTTTCCATGAATTTCTTGGAACCCTTTGAAATTCTTCCCATCCCCAACCCTGGCTATCTATGCCATGTTGGTGTGGCTTTGGGACAATCTTGGGCTTTTCTGCAGGTCTCCTCTTCCCACCCAAGACTTGCTGCACCCAAGCAGCATTTGCAATTCTCCCTAGCACGGCTTCGCCTCAAGTGTTGGCTCCGATGCCTCCCTCATTTCCCTACTGTGATAGGGAAGATTGAGCTTTGATGTTTTAACAAGACTCTTATGATGGTTTTAGGAAACAGAATGAAATAAGACACAAAGGACTTAAAATTAGCTATTAGATATGATTGCTCTGAGTCCTTGGGCTCAAAGTTCTCTGAGGCCCCTTTTGAGACCCAGGCCTCTAAAATATACTGATTTTTCTAGCTTCTTTCTTCCAGCATATTGCAGAGGCCAATGTAAAATTCTGGCAATGAGACTTCCTTGCAAATGTATCTTGTACTCTGAGTCCAAACTTCTTTTTTCTCCAGTTCTAAACAGAGGAACAGTTATTCCATATTATCTAAAACCTAATCCTTGAGCTCTCATTTTCCACCCCAGGTTGAAGAACACCCTTATCTATATCCACAGAGCCTTTCCCTAAGACCTCCGTGAAAGGCAACGCATAAACATACAACAAACCAACATCAGAACAGAATTACTGCCTGTTGACTCACCTCACATACGAGATGTACACAGAACCGCCCCAATTCAGCTTCTGCATTCCCAGCTCAGGCCCTTACAAACATGAGGCTAAGACCAGCTGTCATACCTTCCCAGACAACTTCCAGTCTCTGCTCCCAACCTCCACCATGTTTTGTGCGTATTATCCCATTGAATTCTCACCATAGCCCTATGGAATAGGCATTATTGGTGTGGTTTTTTGTCATTTATTATGCACAAAAAATGGATGAGATTGGAACTATTATTTAGTCCATGTGAGGAAACCCAGATAAGATAGGGAAACCCAGGTTTAGAAAGTTTAAACAGCTTGCTTAACGTGACAGACACTCCTCCACAGAGGGCATCCTGCGTGCTCCGCGCCCCCTCAACCAATGCTACCCTCTTTGTCAAGGATAATGTACTACCCTTATGAACTCCTTAGCCAATTCATTAGCTACTACTGTGTCTAATTTGTTTTCTAGCTTTGGAATGGTCTCTTCAGATGTGTAAGCATTTGTCTTCAGATCTACACCCACAGACTAATCACCAAATAAGGCAAACTATCACGGACAACACGGCCCTCATACCTCGACCTCAGGGTCTTCACAAAGGCCTTCCCTCACTCTTCCATCCACAGAGATCTTCCTTCTCTCTATAGCTATAGGCGTCTTTTATTTTTATTAAACCACACAATGTGGCATTTTATTATTTATTACCAAAGGTCTTTATTAATCACTTCATATCATCTTACATTGTTCTCCTATGGTTTATATTTCTGTATGTGTTGGACTGGTCTTCCACATAAAATTAGAACTCTTGAAGGTAAGGACCATATCTTAAACTTCTTTGATGGTTTCTCCAAAGAATCTAATGTTCTGCTAAGTTCATACAAATTGCTAAATGAATATTGGCTTGATATATTGTTGACAAGAATAAACCAAAAAAGAAGGAACTGGCATAAATAATTCGATAACGTCCTTTAAAATATACACCTTGAACTATTTTTCATCTGACCAATAAATTTATAAGTGCTACAAATTGTCAATGGTAATTCTAGAAGCAAGCAACCAAGTCTTTTTATTTTTATTAAAGAATTTAAAAAGAGATGAATCTCCATAGTTCATAGATAAATGGTGAAAAAGGAAACACACATATGATTTTTAATAACTTGAAAAGGGAGTTGAAATAGTTTCTGAGGGTTTCAAAGTAGTAATTCCCACACGTTAATTGTTAGGTAGTCTTATCTCAACCTCTTCTAAAGTGTCTCTGAATGTCTTTATCATCCACTTCATATAAATAAGTTGAAAATGTGAGCCTGGAAATTATAAAGAAAAAAAGGAGGGTAGGATTTTGGTTTGATTTTGGTGACTAGTGTTTAATAAAGGCAAATCCTAACACTTCTTTTTGAAGCATTTCAGTTTAATGAAGTTCCTTTTAACACACGTTTAATAAAATGTTGAATAAAAAGCTCAACTATTTTACTATATGCTTTGTGAACAGCACTTTCTCTTTCTGCCTTTTCAGAAAACCATGCTGCCTTCTGATTATAAATGATACGTCTTTTTTTTTGTTTCCTAATGTTTCTGGAGTTAAAAAAAATATCTATGGTAAAGTTAAATGTACTTCAGGAACATTAACATATAAAGCCAAAGATGATCTTGCCATGAGCTATTGCTATGCCCTTAAATAATACAAATTTGGTCAAAATCAGATATTGAAGGAGACGACATTCACTGGAGAGTTTTCATTTCTTTCCGATTTTCTTAAAATCCCCAGAAACTTGTTTATTTCAGTAAAGAGCCCACCCCTTTCCAAACACATCAGTCTTTGGAAAGCTTTATTTAAATGCCTCTGCTGAATGAAAGGCTCCTTTCATGCCATTTCAAGCCCCGAAGTACCAAAAGGGTAAATAACTTGAAGTATCATTTTTGACTGACTTGACTTTGAAACAGGCACAGCCTGCGTAAACAGCTGCTCCTCCGACGCGAGATGCTTACCTGCTCTCTAAACAGCTGCCTCCGTTATCTAGTAATATTGGTAACAATGATCAACACCTTAATTCCCTGGATTAATCAGTTAGAGCCAATAGAAAAGGACAAAAACCCATAACTTTTCCACAAACTTAGTTAAATGTCAAGGTTTTTAAAGGCCTAGTTAGCAAGTATATTAGATGAGATATGTCAGTTTCCCAATTTACGACTCTGACTTGTCTCTTGTGATTCCTTATAGCCTCTAGCCATTCTTCTCTTACCTGAGGCATTCTTTGGCAAAAACCTGATGCTTCCAGTCATTCTGCATTCTTGTGTTTCTTCAAAAATAATTGGACAGGCACCTTTCCATAAACAATCATCATTAGTGATATATGGTACACAGATACGAATACCACACAAATAAGTTTCAATGGAATGTCTTGAGCCAAATAGTAATAATTTGGCCCGCGTGTTACAGATGTGATTGACAGAGAGTTAATGCATTTAGCACTTTTCCAGGAGGCTCTGAGCATTAGCTCCTTGATGCTCAGAAAGTCCTGCTCCCAGAAAAGTGACATAGACATTGACCATTGAGTTTGTTGCTATTCAATAGCTGGTTCCGTTTCCAGACTCTATGATTAAAGTCATTATAGGAACTGTCAGCAGGGGGGAAGAAATGGAAACTGTCACAAGAAGCAACTGTCTCAAATGTTAAAGATTCCCATACTGTTTAAGGGTTTTAAATCGGGGGGTTTTAACTTAATGAAGATCCACCTAAATTATAAACCTGCAGACTTCAAATATTTTCTACTAGGTTGATTAACACCACATCCCTCTTTTATGCTTTTATTTTAACCTTCTTGGAAAAATTCTGAAAAAATCACAATAAAAATGAACCTTTGTTTGTACTAATGGCTATGAACAAAGTTTACAACAAAATGAGTCAACATCTTTTAAGGATCTCTTCTCAGAAGAGGCATATTCTGTGGAAAAGACTGATGAAATGAAAGTTTAAACTGAGTAAAATAAAAGCACATGATTTGAAAGTTTTTAGAATTATTTTTATATTCAAGGACCACGATAACTCTAATATTCAATAGAACACAATATTTTCAATCTGACGATGAGCCTGGACATGTTTACAAGTCCTACTTGTCAAAAGTGCTCCTAGTTATTTTTTCCTAATGTTAAAAATGAACATTCATGATTTATAATTAGGATTTATTATTGTTTTATAATCTTAGGTAGAGAGCGTTGGATATACAGATCATCAAAATGACTCATAAGGTAAACACTTTTTGAAATTCATTAATAAAAAAGGGATTCTAAATACATACATCGTGTTTATTAACACTATTAGATGATCAATTAATATTTTAGCTTATTTTGATTTTGATTGTATTTAAGAACAAATGAGAAGTCCGAGGCACTGTCACAGACCACAGGGACAACGGAGGCATGATGACTAAATGTAATGTGGTATCCTGAATGGGATCCTAGAACAGAAAAGAGACATTAAAAGAAACTAAGGAAATCTGAATAAAGTGTAGAATTTAGTTAACCGTTATTGGTTCCTTGGTTGTGACAAGTGTCCAGTAGCAATTAGGGTTGCCATGGGACCTATGTATACTAAAAACCTATTCGTTGTTTATGTGAAATTTGAACTTAACTGGGTGTCCTTTAGTTTATCAGCTAAAGCTGGTAACCCTCATAGAAATGTAAGATATTAATGATGGGAGCAACTGGATGAGGGGTATAGAGAAACTTTCTGTAATATCTTTGTAACTTTTCTGTGAATCTAAAATTATTCTAAAATAAGAAGTGCATTTAAATTTTTAAAAATCAAATGGGAAAACATACAGCCCATGAAAAGCATTTTGCTTTCACGTTTCAGTTGGAGCATTTTACACACCTAAGAAAAATTAAAATCTGACACCAGCCTAAACATTAATTTTTTTTTCAGTATGTAAACAAGCTTGCTCTTTAAAAAATATGTGTTTTAACCCCACTTGTCAGTGAGAGGAAAGCCTAATACAATAATACTAACAGTAATATTCTTCTATTTATTTTTCTTTCCTCACCTGCTATGCCCGGGTTTTGACATTAAGAATATTGTGTTTGATATTTTCTGCATTAAAAACCACTTTAGGCTTTGGTTCCGTTTTACTCCCAGTCAGAAAGATCAGAAAAAGCTCAAGTCACACAGTGAGAAACTTTATCCACTGAATGAGACATTATCCATTCCACCAGACTGCAAATCAAAGAGTATCTCTTAGGCTGCTTAAAAATTCATTTTAAAATCTGATCCTGATTGTACTTTTATGGTAATTTCATACCATCAATCATCCTTTTACCTTTAGTCTCTGGGTCCACTGCACTCCCCATAGATCTCATTCACTCTACCTCATTATAATTCTTTAGGTGAGAAAACAGGGGAAGAAACCTTAACAGAAAATGAGAGAAAGATGTAAATTTTTTGAGAAAAGTCAAGTTCACTAAGAAGCAGAGCTAATGATATGTTCTGATCTTCCTTTTTTTTTTTTGTAATTAAAAGATGGGAGGAAAAACGGACCCCAAAAACGCGAAAAAACATGTCTCCCATGCAAATAACATATTTGTAATCTGCATTCAGTCTCCGAAATACACCTTATACTTTTAACCTGTCAGGGTCCTGGCTTGCTTCTGCCATGTGAAGTGAACAAAAGAAATATTTTTTGAAACTCTCAAGAACTTTAGTTTCATTGTGTGATGTTTACCTGCCCTTCATGAGGCTGTCTCCTTTCTAATTCTGTTTTTAGTAAACGGAATTATCAGAGCATAGAATTATCAGCAGGCAGCTGTAAGCCACCCAGGGCAGGCCCCTCTCTAGGTGTATAGGTTCACATCGAGTTATGGGAAATCAATAATACAACTTTGGTTATTATTCTCCATTTGGCAACGCGTATATGCCTGTTCCAGCTAACAATTAATCACAGGAAGGGAATGGCATGTGGCTGTGTGTCAGCCAGAAAGTGCTCGTGGCAAGTGAAATGATTTCTAACATCCAGTTTGTCAAGCATTCATTCAGCCTTTTCAGCATGATTCAATTTAACTAACAATAAATGTTATATTTTTGCTCCATTGATTTGAATGCTGACTCCGGTGTAAAGCATATTTCTTAGAGCAACAAGAAATGTGGTAGATAATAAACCTGGTGGCTCAGTTCAGCCTCGGTACATTTAGACTGGAATGAAAAAACGGCCATTAACCACAAGGGAAAGGACTGATTTCTCTGAAGTACCAAGTCCAGTTGCGCTATCGTTTCTAACGTCTTTAACAAAATGTTGCCATAAACCACAGAATGCCAATAATAGCAATAATCCCTCCAAAATGGGTTGTTACCAGCAGTTAGTGACCAGTTTCTTAGTTAATGGCCTGAGGGGAAAGGCTTTAAGAAAGCTGTATTCACTATTTCCTCTCAGGCAATTTAACTGGATGCATTAAACTGCATTTTCATTGGGATTTCAAAATGTTTGTGCTCTGACAAGGCACTCCTCTTAAGGTCTTTTGATTAAATCTCCATCTCTACAGTCTTAGGAAGAGCAAATAAGCAACAGATCTAAGTGTGGGAATTGGAGAATTTCAACAGTCTCGTAATTAATAACTGAAGTGACAACCTGGAATGTAGGAAAATGCATACGCCGATATAATCACGCCGAGGGTCTTTGTTCCTGATTTAACGCTCTCTGCCATTCACGAGCTGTAAATGACCCTTGGTTCATTCATTCATTTGTTCGCAGAGACAATAATCCTGCTGCCGTCTTTGCCAGGTTATCGTGAAGATCAAAGGCGATTTTATTGGTGAAAGGGGTGGAAAACTACGTGGTGCTTGGTACTGAGAGGCAGAGTGGGCCAGAGAGCAGCTCTCCTTCTTCATCTGTAGTAACCAGGTGTGCTGTGACAGAGCCCCGTGGTTAATTCTCAATATGCCCAGAGAGTTAAATTTGAACTATTGCAAAGGCGGGGTGGGGTGCGAGTTGGGAAGTGACCAAGGAAATGAGTTTTCTATAACTGCTTCTAGCAAGAGTCTGAACCCATTGGAATTTATATTGAAAATTCCAGAGTTAAGGGATTCAACTTTTATTTCAGGGCTTATAAAACATCAGCCCCATTTCTTCTGAAAATGTAAACTTGTGTCATGAAATATGTTTATTACAGGATAGTCTCTGTTAGAAATAAATTGTATCCAGCATGCAAATCAACTCAGATGCATAGACTTGGTACTTTGAAATGATTACAAGGAGTTTTAAAATTCCACAAAGGAAATAATAAGAATGTTGTAATAATTATTACTGAGACAAACTGCCCAATACTGTTCTTATTTGGCATCCTAATGTACGTGAATACAAAGGTGTTTTACTAACATATGTAGGAACAGCTGACTAATATATTTTAGGTGATAATATGGTATACCATAGCTGAAATGTTCATAACTAAATAATAATAATAATAATGATAATAATAAATTTAAGATGTGCCTCTCAGGAACTCCAAAATAATATTTCAAATGTCATCTCCTTTGATACATTGTTCTTCCTGATCACATGTAAAATAATTTTTTCTCGCGATTCATGTTTTATATATGTAATTAACGTAATGAGGCATGGCCAACAAAACACTTTTCTTATTTCAATGCATTAATCATAGGAATACACTTCTTTTAGATTTAAACTAAAATGTTCTGACACTATTTATATATCAATCATAAATCATTCAGAAACCTGAATAGGTTGCATAGTATTTAATTCATTTACTTCCACAGTCTTTTGGTTTTTAAGTGAAACACTTCAATTGCTCATTAATTGCAAACATTAACCTAACTTTATAAATAAAGGCAAAAAATGATTGACATTACAAAGAAAATGGCGTGTGTCAGGCACGGGTCTGCTCTCACTCATTAAATCCGGCACTATGTCAGATTACAAATATTCACTTTTATGTGTGCACTGAGGGGACAAAGGTAAAGAGTGTGCTCATTCTATATGAATCTATCCACATTATGTTACATATTATATATATTTTTATTCCGTGTGGAAAATATCAAAGCAATATAAATGAAGAGCTACATAGTAAATTTATCAAATTGAAATTACATTTCAAGGAAAATCAAATATACATTTGAAATCAGAAGTTTTTATTTTCCTCATAACCAAAGTTCAAGGTAGGTCTAGCACCAATCCCTTTTAAAGGACAGTTGGAAAATGATGGAGGGCGGGATTTGTCATCTGAAGTAGATGTGTTAAGAATTAATGGGCCTGTGCAGAGCGCTGATGGAAATGAAGATGCCGCCCCACTCCGAGGTGCCATTTTGCAATGTGAAAAGGTGAGATGGCGGGCCCTGCATGCGGCAGGTGAATAGAAATCCTTGCCACAGAAACAGGCTTGAGCTTGGGCAGAGGAGGGAGGCACTGAATCTGCTTTCCTCAAATCCTCTCTCCCTCCTTCACTCCCCAGATGGCCATTTCGTGAATGTCTGAAATCATGGTAGTGGAGACAAAGCTTTTTATTCTGCACTGCATGCACCTCAGGAAAAGGTGATGGTGTAACAGGTCTGGTTGAAAGCAACAGAGCATGAGGCCGTGGCCCCTGCAGGGAAAGAAGGGAGCTATACCAGCGTGTGGACGTGGACCCAGTAAGGAGAAGCAGTGCACACAGGAAACCAACTTTGCACCTCTTCAGTGTTTCTTCCTTTAGCCAGCCATTTTACCTATAAATTCACCTCTTAGGAATGTTATACAGAATTTAAAAGAGATAAAGAGTGCTGAATTTCTTGGAAGAAAGATAAGCAAGTGTTCCACCATGACCACGTCTTGAAAGATTATGAAGAATGGAGATGGAGTATAATGGCTTGCATATAAAACATAGCATTAATTCAGAATTTTACTAGCTTAATTTTCTTTTGTTAGATGTGGTACTAAGTGTCACCTATTGAAGGAATAAACAAAACTGTGAAAAGAATGGTAAGAGTTCAGATTCTTTTGGAGGACCCTAGTGACCTGTGTTTACTTACAAATGTTGCTGTTGGTAGAAGAGAACAATGAGGGGGTAGAGGGAAAAGAAAGAAAACATAGTGATCGTAGTGGTAGGTATTTTCTCACAGGATTTTTTTAGTCCTCAACTGTGAGATAGCTATTATTATCTCCAGTTTACAGTAGGGAAAGCCATAGAAAACTTAAGTAACATGCCCAAACTAGCATTTTGCATAGCCAGTTAAGTGGCAGAGCTCCCAAACCCAAAATTAAATCTCCTAGATGCCAACACTCACATTCTTTCCACAGCAGTAATTAAGGGTCCCAGTAGATGTGAAATCAGGCCTGGCAGGGCTTCTGCTTACAAACATGTTGAGAACAATTAGTTCACGTGATTATAAAATATCTGTTACTACAGTTACATTTTAAAATACCAGTTTTACAGTCTAGAAATTTCCAAGTAAATTTTCTGCAAATGTTTTTGATCCGTGACATAAATTTCCTTATCCTCTTGGCTGGAAAAGGGAGTCTTTGAAAAGGCTGTTTCTTCCTCCACTAGCGGCCTTCTTGCTTTGCAATTGTCAAAAGATTAAAAAGACCTTTCTGAAAGGCTTTCTTAGGCTTCTAGTATATAAATTTCTTCCACTCACTGCTTCCCTAAGCTGCTTTTATTTTCAGGCTTTAAGAGATTTTCTGGAGACACTTTTCCAACGAGTCCGACACCAACCCTCAGGCTGCTTATGGAAATGGAATTGCAAACACACGGCTCTTGCACCATGGGCATATCAAAATGTGAAACATGTTTCAGATTACAAGGTTATCCAGTAACCTTAACCATTCAACACGAAATCACAAGATTTCAGGGCTAAAAGGGACCACTGAGAACATTGAATCCATCTCCTCAAATATGTTTGAAATTCCTTAAGATGAAGCACGACGTACCTAGTAAAGCTGATTCCTTCAAAAGCCTTTACCTCAGTGTGGAACTTCCTTGTTAAAGGCATTTTATTACATGTAATTTTCAGCATTATGGCATGGTAACAACTCCTGAGTATGAACAATCTAGCTAAATCTGATTTGTGCCTATAAACAATATTATAACAGGGCAATGAATTTCAGACTCTGTTCCCATTCCAAAAGCTGGACCATGGAGTTTCACTATTAAAACTTAATGACAGTGGTCTTTTTCAAATGTGTAGTAAAAAATTAAATTAACTAATAGAATTGTGTCTGCTAAAATTTGTAACCCCATATACTTTTAAAGCTTTTTCTATATAAGTCTTTAGTATAAAATATTATCTTATTCAGAACTAAATTATTTTGAATTTGTTGTGTTAATATTTCATCATGTTTCACATTATGACTTTCAGTTATTCTCCTAGTTGAATACAGTTGGGACTCACAGTAATCATGGGCTACTTTCCTGACCAAGAACCTAGAGCCTAATTTTTTAACAGAACTGGCCACAAATGTAGTATTTAATCAACCGTCAGTGATACACTTTTACATCACCCAGTATAAAATGTTCCAACCACATTTCTGTAGATGACGAATTATAAATAACATTCTCTAACGTGTTTATCAATCAAATAGAGAATTAAGAAAAGAACCAATGACATACATTTATCCAATGGGTTCTCAGAGTGGCCCCAGGAAGCATGAGGACTCCTTGGCTGGGGCCTGTCCTGGGCAGGCCTGGACCAAGGTGGTCATGTCAGGGGATAGGGGAGCTACACCCTGGCCAGGTGGGGCACTTGGCTTGCTCTCTTCACTAAGTGCTGTAAGTAAATAACATGGCTATCATTTCCAGAATTTTGCCCACGTGAATCACAGCAAGTTGGATCATTGTGAGTCAAGAATGAATCATATTATAATGATGAAAGTACAAAGTAATGGAAAGGACTTTATGGTAAAATACATGAAAGGAAAGTCTAATAGCAAAGGTTTAGCTCATAAAATGGAAAAGAATTGGCCATTACTAATTCTTCAAAGAACTGATAAAGAAATTTGAGACCATTTTTCGTCATATCCCGGAATGTCTTTAAATTGTACCTAACTTGGAATTAAAAAAACCAAAAATCCTAAGGCTAGCATTGTCTGGTTTTGTTTGCGGAACATCACGATTCTCATTTAGAATGTACAAATACAACATAGAATTGCAGTATTAACTCCGCAGAATAGAGGTTAAGTACTGAAAAGAGCGAGGTGGTGGTACATATACTAAGATTCCAGCCTACAAAACAAGGTATTGGAGTGTCTCATTCAACCTTGCCAGCAGAGTAAGTCAAGTGAACTGAAAATGGGAACAATTCTTCTCCCAGCACGGGCCTGGGGAAGCTCTCCTAGCTGGTGGTCTCACTGGCCTTGAAGGTGGATGAGAGAATATGAATGAGATGAAATCAGCAGACAGAATTCTATGGAATAAGTGTATTCTGTAAGCAGAAAAATTAAACTAATGAATAGAATTCTCTTGGCTGTAAGTTTTAATCCTCAGTGTTGTTCTCATGCTTTCTCTATGTGAGACTCTAGTATAAAATAGTATCTCATTCTGAACTGGTTTCTTAGGATGAGGTGGTTTGGTCTTGATGACTAAGCAAAATGATTTGTTGGAAACTGAGGTGACGTTTAACCTTCAGTGTGTCCTTACTACCTTGCTCTGCATTTAGCACATAGCAGCTGTGCAGTGAACTGTTGTCAAATGACAGGACAAATGAATCCGTGCTGCATGTGTGGGTTTTCCGAAGAGTGGAGAGGCAGTGGGTTGTAAGATAGAATATCAGTACTACCTCAGAAGTGTTGTGATGTTTTTCTTTCTTTCTATTGCCATTGCTATCACTTTACTCCAAATTTTATCATCTCTCAGATAAAACTGCTGCAGTAGCCTCTTCTTTGCCTTCCTGCTTTTACTCTTGCCCCTATATTCTGTTCTCCACACAGAGGCCAAAGTAATCTTGTAAAAATACTAATCAGATCACGCTCCTGCTTAAAACCCTTCGATGGATTCCTGTAGCCTTTAAAGTACAATCTGATCTCGTCACCTGGCCTACAAAGACCCTGCCTTACCTGGAAACTTCCTAACTTTCTTTATATTTCATCCTTTACCATCTGCCTTAACCACTGTGCTCATGTTACACTTGCCTTCTTCCTATTCCTTGTACATGTCAAACCTGTTCCCACCACAGGGTGTTTGCACTAGCTGTTCTCTCTACCTGGTAAGCCCAGATGCTCACAAAGCATGCTCCTTCTTATCATGAAGCCCTCATTTTACATCTCTCCTTTGGAGACTTCTTTGATTGCTCCTTCAAAAATAGCCCCCAGGTGCTCCATAGGACATCATTTTGATTATTTTCATCATTTCGCATTTATCACCAGTTGCTATTTTCTACTTTTTTATTGTTTCCCCTATATTAAAGGCTAAGTATCATGAGAAATTATTCAAACATGTGTCCCCAAGAACCAGAACAGTCTAGTGTTTAACAAGAGTTCAGTAAAAGATTGTTGAAAAAAGTGAATGAACAAGAATTGTCTTGGCTTGCGAATGATCCATGATGGAGAATTTTGACAAAGAAGGGATCGTTCTGTTTGTTTATATGTATTTCTGTGCATGTCACACATGCCAAAATGACAAATAAATACAAGAAGAAAATTGGTTAAAGCAAGGATATTGTTGGCATTGTGTAGGCAACACAATGGCTTCATGAATGGGATTGCTTTCTTTTCAGCTTCCTATTTGGAGTGCTCACCAGATATGAACTATTTAAATTTCACTTGAGCACATTTAAAACTTGAAGTTTTTAAGTGGCTATTTTCCTATAATTTCTGACCTGCTTCACAAAGTCTATGGTGGTTTAGTGTGATTCTTCCCATCCAGTGGAGGCAGGATGGTTTTCTGTGTTTCAGGTTTATAAAATTGTTGACAAATAAATACCTACTGTGTCGGGAGCTAGCCGATTCCTAACAGGGTGTTATAATAGGAATTTGCAGTGGGAGGGGGAAGGAGTGGGGCGGATGAAGTGGGAATCTATCCACTCACACTGGTTGGAAAACCTACTTTCAAACTCACCCAGCACCAACTGAGCTTAAACGGTTGTCACGGAGAGTGTGTGTGCTGTGTTGGCCACGTGTCAGGCCTAATTGGGACCCTCTGAGAGCTAGGAGGATGTGCGATTCTAGCAGGAAAATGTTAATCCAGTCACAAACGCCATATTTGCAGGAAAACTTCCTTTCAGCTCTCTCCGCCTCCCTTCTTTAGCTATTCAAGGGAAGTGATCGGTGCATGCTAGCTTATAAAAATTTAAACTATTTGGGTGCTTTTGGAAATAAGTTACAGAGCTCGAGTAAACAACAACAACAAAAATCCTCCAAGGAAATGAGATACTTAATAGGTGCTTCTGACTCTTCTCTCACGTATGGGCAGGTCCAGCCAGTCAGAAAAGCACCTGGATTTACAGGAATGACACTTGCAGGTGATACAAATTCAAACCAAGACTGTCCTGTGAACGTGAGCCCCAAGGAATTCACAGCTCTCTACATTGACCCTAATTTCCAATTTTAAGTAAATGTTCACCAAACCATTTCTGGAACAATAAGTGGAAATAGTATGAGAGAAATCTCTTGTTCCTGGCTTAGAGGGAATCTTAGGAGGGGTGGAAGTTCGTCTATGTTGATATGGTCAGTTCTGGTGTCATTAACACCCAGGGAGTGCCACTCCCTGTAGGAGGCTGGCCTAGCTTATGATCTACATGTATCTTTTGCTGGTGTGGAAGCATGGGATCAAGGTACCTCTTAGGTCATGAGATGACTCTAGGTGTCACAACTTTCATTTCACCTTGGCAGTCGACCAATAATGAACAAGAAAAGCAACAACTCATAGAGGAACCATTTCCACCCCTTACTTACAATGTGACCCATCACAAAGAGAAGCTTTGACCAATAAACTGTGACAGCTATATAGGATGATCTAAAGGAAACAAAGTAAGAGACCTTAGAGAAATGTACTTCATCACGCCTCTCCTTTTTATATGAAAAATAGCAAAACAAACTCTAATGGCTTTCATTGGGTATCTGGATTTATTAGAGAAGTTTTATTGAGGATGTAATTGTTGAATATTTTTTATTCTAGTCTGGTTTGTACTAACACTTAGTGATCACATACTGCGTGCCAGATACTGCCCAAGTGCTTTTACATACATTAACTCAGTTAATTCTCACAATAACTCCAAGAAGCAGGTATATTATTATACCCATTTTCACAGACAAGGAGGTGCTCAAGGTCACACGGCTTTAAAATTACAGCACTCTAATGAAAATAAAATTCACCCTAATTGATCATTTTCAAAAAAGGACTTAAGCAAACTGGAGAAAATGTTTTGACTTGTAAGAATGAACAGTTTCAGGCTAGACGATACTTAGGAAAGTACATTGGGAACTATGAGCAGGAAGAGAGCAGCATTCCATCCATAAATGAGACTTCCAGACATCAGCTATGGGCACTGATTAATCAGAACCTAGAGTTTTCACAGATCAGGAACCTTGCAGTCAGAACTTGTCTCCTGCTATCTAAAGCTAAGTAAGGCCCTGGTTAACATGATTTGCATTGACTGCACACTGTGTATCCTATTAGTTGTTGACATAAGTGTTTGCTTTGTTTTGTATAAACATTTTATCTCAAGGGCTGCTGGGGGAGCAATGTGGAGTCCCCACAACAGGAGCTCTTCTGTGAGATCATTTGCTTCCCTGCATCTAGTGTGTAACTACAAGTGACTTCCTTATTGGTTACACTCAGGACAAGGTGGGGAGATGTGGCCTGCCAGCTTCCCAGAAACAATTCTTTGTTTAGCCTTATGTCTTCCAGATCATTTCCAAAGATCTGTCTACTTGTGTTTTAGTTCACCTATGTTTTATTTACGGCATCTCACTGAGACCAGGCAGTACAGAAAGGAACCCTGTGTTTCATGATAAGTTCTCCTTTCAAAGCTTCATGCTCAAAGAGAATTGACTACAGAATGTCAGGTGACCTTTAGCTGAGGCTTAACAAGCAAGTTCCATACTATGAACAGAAAATGGCTTTATTGGACGTCACACAGCAAACCCCAGACAGCGACGTAAGTCTTTCTCAAGTATTCAAAATTAGAATAATGCTTATTATGAAACAAACTTTAAAAAATTCACTGGGGGAATTTGATGTTCTCCCCTATAATGTTTTTCTTCCCTGATGAAACTCATACAGAAATAGCAAACATTATTTTTCATTTCTGCCATATTCAGCTTGGTAGGAAATAACGTCAGCCAGAGACGTTAACTC